TGCAATTATCTGAAAAAGGAGAATTGGTAATTAGTGATTATCCTAATTTAGAAGAAATTAGAGCAATTGGTTCAGAAAATATCAATAACATTACTAAAGTAACCGTTGCTAATTGTTCTAAATTAAAAGAAATAGATATTACTAATTTTGTAGATAATGAAAGATTAGAAATTACTAATTGTTCTGATTTAGAGAAGCTTTATTGCGGAAATAACAAATTATCAGCAATAAAAGGATTAAGTGAATGTTTAAAATTAACTGAATTAAAGTGTTGAAAGAATCAATTATCTAATTTAGATCTAACTAATTGTGGAAAACTGAATGATTTAGAATGCAACGAAAATCAACTCACTCAACTAACTTTACCTAAGTTAGATAATTTACAGAAATTAATTTGCTATAATAATAATCTAACTAATTTAAAGTTCGTTCAGCAGTCAACTAAATTAGAAATACTTAGTATCGGTGACAATAATATCACTACTGGTTTAGAATATTTACCAGTTAGTTTAAAAGAATTTTGGTGTGAACAAAGAGGAGAAATATGGAATGAATTAGCCCTTTATGGAAAAAATCTCAGAGCTTGACAACAAACTAATCCAGAGTTAATGGATGATAATTTATCTTTAGTCAATTTAACTCTTACTGAGCAAAATATTACTCCTTTAGCAGTAACTGCTACTCCCGAAGATTTATTAGAATTATTAGAAAAGTTTCAGGAAGCAAAACCAATAATTAACTATACACTTCCGGTTAACTTTAGTTATTCTGAATTCACTCTCCGCGATAACTGTCTTTTAGTCTGAGAAAAAGCAGATTCTGAAACAACCACTAGTTTGCCCATTCGTCTTTATAATTTCTCTACTGAGCAAGTAGAAACAACCCAAGGCAGAAACGATATTCCTCATTACTTAGCTCTTTCTTATGTCTGAGGAACTGAGTGAGAAAACCAACCCCGAACTTATGGTCAATCTTATCAAACTGATTTAACTAAATTAGGTCGTAAAGCTTTAAATAAAGCGATTAAAGTTTGAGAATTAATCAACAAAGATAATAAAACTCAACTTAATCACATTTGAATTGATAACTTCTGCATTGACCAAAAAAATAAAAAAGAAAAAGGTCAAGAGGTTGCTAATCAAAAGCAATATTATAATAACGCCACGGCTACTTTAATTGCCAATGATGGTAAGATTGGAAAAAGGAATCAACAAACTGATTTAGAATGAGCTGAACATATTATCAAACAAATAGCAATTTCTCCTTGATTTACTCGTTCTTGAACTTTCCAAGAAGGATTATTATCTAAACAAACTATCTTTATGTTTGATGATTATTTAGTAGATGGTAGGATTTTAGCTAAGATCTGAGTAGGAATTCAAGATAGTGTGGTTTTAAACCACACTACTATTTTCAGTACTCCCTTAGGTTGAAGTTATGGTGCTAACCAAACAGACTCAATTAAGTTAAGTTTAAGTCAAGCCTTAGATGCGGTTAAACATCGCCAACAAACTGTACCCTTAGATGGCCTGTATTCTATTTTAGGATTACTGCCTTATGGAGAACAAGCTACGGTTAGTTATGAAAACAATACTCTGCAACAAGCTTTACAAGAATTAATGGATTTAGCTATTAAAGAAAATCCTTCTGAAGCTATATCTTGATTCGGAGAAAGACGGAATGATGAGTTATGAAAAATACCTCCGATAAATAAAGATGGTTCGACTAAGATAGAAGGATTTGTTAATATCACTGCTCAACCGGAAACTCTGCAAATGACTAAACAAGGAATATTATTGGTTGGTTGAGTTGATAATAATGTTAATGAAGAATATATTACAATATTCCCTAATTCGGGACAAATAGTAAGTGATGAAAGCTTTGAAATCTTAGTACCTAAGTCAGAATATTCTAATTTACCAATTAAGGTAACAGAAAGTGTTTATTCTGCTACTATAAACAGAAAAATATTTATCGATATGATTAATAAACAAGTAATTGAAGGGGAAGAAGAAATTGCAGAATATCAAGTTAAAATAGAAATTCCTTCTAAACAAAATTAATTTTTACTATCTTACTATGTCTAGTTAACTATACGCTTTTATTTCTCTTATATTCCTCTAAGGCTTTTTCTAAAATTTCAATTTGTTTGCAGTTTTCTTTAAAAGCTAATTGCCGTAAGTTTTGGTAAAATTCAGGGTAGCAAGTAAAACCAATTTTTTTCGTGCGTCCAGTAAAACGCTTATCTTGGGGAGCTAATTCCGGAGCAGAAATATTTTGGCTGGCTTCTTGGGGAGCTTCTCCCAGTGATTTTAAGTCTTTTTTTTGTTCTTCATTCAAAGGATAATTACTAATAAATATTTCTTGAGCTCCACTAACTCTTTTATCACCTTGGCAATTGATAAATCTTTGGGCTTTTTTAGTAAATTGTGGGTAATCTTGGTATAAATCCTTAATAAAGTCAGTAGCATGATTAGTTAATAACCATTTCGCTCCTTGTTTTTCTACTTTTTTTAAGAAACTAAATAACTCTTTTTGGTTTTCCCGCGTAAACTTATTAGCGGTGTAAGAAGTGAAGCCATTGCCATTTTCGCTATCATAGGGTGGATCCACAAATAAGAAATCATTTTCTTTAATTAAGGGCAATAATTGTTGATAGTTTTGGTCTAAAATTTGAACTTCATTCTTGTTTAAGTATTCACTAATGGCTAAAATATTTTCTTTATCAAATAATTTTACTTTCTCTTTTTGTCCTCAAGGAACATTAAACTCTCCTTGGCCGTTTACTCGGTATAGGCCATTATAACCAGTTTTGTTTAAATAGATAAAGCGGGCAGTGATTTCTAGGCTAGTTAAGTCCTTCGGTACTTGTTTTTTTAATTGCTGGTAGAACTCTTGGCTGTGTTTTTTTTCGTATTCAGTTAATAATTTAATTAGTTCTTGGGGATTTTCTTTAATTACTCGGTAAGAAATAATAAGTTCTTGATTAATGTCGTTGATTATTAACTTGCTAGGTTTAATACTTAAAAAAACTGCTCCACCACCAACAAATGGTTCAATTAAGCAGTTGTAATTACTAGGGGTCAGCAAATTAATAATTTCTAAAAATTGAGTTTTGCCTCCGGCTCATTTGACAAAGGGCTTTAATTGAGTGATTGTTAGTTCTTTACTCATCCTCCAAATTTTCCCAAGCTTCAGCTTCTTTTTCTCGTTCTTTATCCTTGGCCGCTAGTTCATAGCCTTTTTTTCATTCTGCTTCTTTTTTTAGTAAATAACTGTGCATCAAAATAATTATTTCATCTTCGCTGATTTCTTCTTTTTCTACTCGGTATTTTAATTCTTGCAAGAATTCTTGCTTATTTACTTGTCTTAATAATTCTGTCATAATGTATTATTTTATATCTAGTATGCTATGTCTAGTTGTCTAGTAATGTTTTATTTGTTCTGCTGAATTAATTTTATTGTTTTCAGCCTCAATAATATATTATTTCTTTCATACTTTTATTTATATATTATATTTTACTAGATTACTAACTTACTATACAACTATACCTAGTTAACTATATTTAATTTTTAGTAAGCACTTGAATTTGAGCGATTAATTGCTGATGGAGTTCGAGGGTGTTGTTTTGTTCTTTATTAAATAAATTTGCCCGTTGAATTTGGAGATCACTCGAAAGTAGTTTTAGTAAACTTTCTTTTTCACTTTGAACTTGAATCAATTGTTTTTCTAGTCTTTGTTTATCATTTTTTAAGTTTATAATAATTTGTTCTTGTTCTCTTTTTTCTTGCTCTAATTGCTTAACTTTTTCCTGTAAAAGTTTGTTTTCAGCTGTTAAGAGTTCTTGCTGGGAATTTCTTGTTTTATTCTCGATAAAAATATTAGTTTCTTGCTGAATGTTAAGAAAAATGTGCCAGTGATTTTTTATTACGGGAACATTTATTAATTCTTGGGGTTGGTTTTCAATAGGTTTTGGTGGTTTTTTTGGTATCTTTCCAGTTAATCACTTATCCCTAATAACTTTTTCTCTAGGATTTGGGCTATTTTTTCAGTATAAAGCGGTAGTGCGAATACTAGAATGACCGAGAACTTTCTGCAAGACTGGTAAAGGCATTCCGGAATTAGTTTGATAAGTAGCAAAACACCTTCTTAAAGTATGGGGGGTTAGTTCAATATTTGCTGAAATATTGAGTTGCTTTTTAGTTTTTTGTAAGAAATGAGCAAAAGAGAAGCGGTTAGTTGGCTGAGGTTTTCAGTGATTTTGCTTTAATTTACTTATTACAGATGGATCAACAAAAACAGATCTTTTTTTGTGTTGTTTTCCTTGAATTAAGTAAAGGTTTTTGTTCTTTTTTAAGTTTAAATCGAAATTTACTGCTTCACTTACTCGTAAACCGGCTTCTTTTCCTAGTAAGAATAAGCCATAATAAGCAGGTTTTCCTCTTTCTTGGATAAAGTTGGTTACTTGATTAAGAAGTTGAGGAGGTGGGAGCATGTGCTTTTGTTTATTTTAAACTTTTGCTTTTCTTTTATTTCATTCTTTTAAAAAGATTTCTTTATTTTCTTTAACAATTCTTTCCGTTTCGTTTTGTTCTTTTTCCGAAACTTGACCTTTAATTTTCTTAACGTTTATTTTATCTTTGGACTTGGTATCGGTTGGTTCTAATCAAAATTCTATTTCTCCCCGAGAAGTTTCAACATGAATGTGAGCAGGTTTATTTTTAGTTAGATCGTTAACTTTGAAATAGCACCAATAACCCTTTATTTTCCACGTCGGCATAAATTATTCACAAGGAGCATTAAAGCCATAAGTAAAAGCCTCAATGCCTAACACTTCGTCAATCTCAGGAAAATAAATGTTCTTTCCTCTTTTTATTTCGTAGTTTCTTAATTTTTCAGTGCTAACTCCTTTTACTCCCCATTTAGCAAATCAGTCAATGGGAATACTTAACTCGCGACCATCACTTAATTGTGCGGTTAATTTTTCTAAATGAACAGCTAAATTAAGTATTTTGACTTCGTTTTGGCTAGAAATTTCCCTTTCTTTGGTGGTTATTGGTTGCTTCTTTGTTTCTTTATTTAAGTTAACTCGCATGATATTTGGACTTCCTATTATGTTCTAATTTTACAACCTTAGTTATTTATTACAACTAATAAAGAAATACCAAAGAAAAACACCATATTCCTTTCTAAGACCCTTTTTTATAAAGGATTATTTACTTCCAATAATTCCTTTCTTGCTTTTTCCAAGATTTATTTATACTGACACTCTTTACACCTATCTACAACTGATAGTCATTCGGACTTTTTAGTAGTTTGTTTACAAATACAGCATATTCGGTTCTCTCGATTTTTTTCTTGTTGTTCTTGTCAATTATTTTTCTTACTCATTTAGGTTTTTTTCTGCTTCTTTTTTTACTTTCTGTTCCTCTAATCATTTAGTAGCACACTTATTATCTTTGCAATAATAGAGACTTTTAAATTTGCCGGTGCTGGGGTTAGAACAATAACTGCAAGAAATTATCACTTCTTCCTTGACAATTTTAGGTTTCCAATGATTAGGTCTTTTCATTACTATTTTTTAACCCTGTGGGATTAATTTAGATAAAAGCAATAACAATCCTCCTAGTAGAATAATCCTTCAAATTCACTTAGTTAGACCACGGAGGAACATAGTGGCGATCATTCCCGCGAGGAAACTAGCGGCAATTATTCTGATTAGATTACTGGGGGATATTTCCATAGCTTATCGCTTAAATTTTTCTACTCAGTTAATTTTATATTCCCGACCCTTTTCTACTTTTATTCCTGACCTTTCAGTCAAATTTTTTGTTTCTTTGAGGAGAATTAAGGGGTTTTCTCTCTCTATTTCCATTTTATTTCTCTCATAATAGTCCCTTAGGTGAGGAATAAATATTTTAGTGATTAAAAGAAACTTTCTAGTTTGTAAAAAATGTGTAAAATTGAAATATAGACTAAATATTTCCATAGTAAGAAATTAAAGTTCTATATTATGTAAACAAAAAATAGAAAATAATTGCCTATGGTCAAAATGAAAGAGATTTTTAACTAGCATAACTTTTTAAATCAATCACTCCTAGTTAAATGTAATTTGCTACAAAGTGGAGTGGTGATTGTAAACAAATAAATCAAAAAAAACACATAAAAATATGGTAAATGCCCAAGGATGGTTGGATAAAATTTATTCACAAAAAAACAGAGGAAAAGTAACTAAATTAGTTATTAAACAGAAAAACTTAGAAGGTTGTCTCGACCTAACAGAGTTTGTGAATTTAACTGAACTCGATTGTTCCGATAACAAGTTTACTGAATTAGATTTAACTGGTTTAACTCAATTAAAAAAAATTAAATGTAACAATAATTTACTAACTAATTTTGATTATTCTTCTTTAATTACTGAAGTATTAAATTATTTAGATATCAGTGATAATAACCTTGATGAGCAAGGCTTGTCAGTCTTTGACAATTTTATCAATTTAGAAACTTTATACATAGGAACTAGTGATAAGGCAAAAATTGATCAAGGTCTTTACAATCGCTTTGCTGGTAGTTTAGAATCTTTAAAGAACTGCACTAAATTGGAAAATTTAGGTCTTTCTAATACTGATATAGACAATGGGTTGGAGTATTTGCCAAAGAGTTTAAGATATATACGTTGTTCTACTGATCAAAGACTTTTCAACAAAGTAAGTAAAATATTTGAACGGTTGAATGCCTTTCCTGAATGGGCAAAAAGAGACTTTAATGGTCAACAATTTAAAGCATGAATAGATGAAGACGGTTTACAATTAACTGATTATGATTTTGCAACTTATTTAAGGTGAAAAGGTTATCATCCTCAATCATCCTTAAATCTTTCCGAATTAAAGGAAGAATATAATAAAAAAAGTGTTCAAAAATGATTAGATCAGAATTATCAAAAATGAGGAACACAAGAATTGTATCTGAACGAAAAAGACTTAGAAGGAGAGCTATATTTATCAGATTTTACAAGTCTAGAAAGAGTCTACCTTTCCCATTGCATAGATGAAAGTAAGATAAAAATAAAAAACCAAAATAAGCAAACAAAAAAAGAAGTTAAAGTTACCAAACTAGTCTATGCTGAGAATGCACAAGAATATCTAGACAAAAATTTTCCTCTAGCAGAAAGGCGATATATTAAAGAGTTAGACCTTCGTAATCTAGATTTAGCGGGAAATCTAGATTTAGGAAACGCTACTTATGAATATTTAAATGTGTATGTCGATGGCAATCCGCGGTTAGGGATAATAAAAGGTAAACATGGAAACGCTACAATTAACGTAAAAGAAAAAGCCCAAGATTGATTAAATAGAAAGTATCCTAATAAAGAGAAAGTAAGAGAAGTTGAACCAGAATCAGGAGTTAAAAGAGGTGTGAGAATCAAAAAAATAATCTTTGGAGAACTGATTATTGATGATTTCCCTAAATTAGAGGAAATAAGCATAAATGAAGAAAAATTAACTCAACTTCAAATCAGCAACTGTCCTCAGTTAACTGAATTAACTTGCTACAAAAATAATCAACTTACTGAATTAACTATTAAAAATTGCCCTAATTTACTGAAGATAACCGCTTTTAAAAATCAACTTACTGAATTAACTATTAAAAATTGCCCTAATTTACAAAGATTAGATGTTTTTCATAATCGATTGCCCAGTTTGGATTTAAGTAATGTTAGGCAATTAGAATATTTAGATATTGGGGACAATACCTTTCCTTCCCAAGATTTATCTTTGGTCAGTCATTTAGTAAATTTAGAAGAACTTGAATTGCAAGATAGTAACTTCACTAGTTCTTTGGTGCCTTTACAAAACTTGACTAGATTAGAAAGATTAAATATTTCCAATACTGACATTAATAGTGATTTAGAGGACGTACCAAAAAACATCGATACAATTTGTTGTTCCTGTTATGGAAAAGAGAAATTTAAAGTAAAAGAACTTGAAGAACAGTTAAAATCAAGTCCTTTTTTTGATTCAGGTACTAGAAATTGAAAAGATATTTGTCCTAATTTTAATCTCGAATTAAAAGAATTATGAAAACAGCATAAATTTACTTATGAATCGGTTAAGAAATGAATCGACATCGGTTTACAACCTAATGATTATGATTTAGCCAATCACTTAAAAGAACAGGGTCATGATGCTGAACGAGACTTAGATTTGGTAAGTTTAAGAGCAGAATATGAAAAAAATCCTGAGTGAAAGAACATTATTGAAAGTAGCAGTTACCAAGAATACTGAAAAAACCAAGGATTTAGTTATAATGAAACTAAGCAATGAATAGAGATTGGCTCATATTCATACTGTGATGAAGCCAAAGAATGAAAAACTCAAGATTTCACTTTCGAAGAAACTAAGCAATGAATAACAGCGGGTTTTAGTTTTAATGAACATAAAAATGCTCAGGAGTGAAAAGGTCTTAATTTCACTCCTGAGCAAACCAAAGAATGGCTAGAAGTAGGTTTGAAAAAAGGAGATAGCGAGTTTACTGATTATCTAAGAAAAGAAAATTTTACTCCGGAACAATATGCTGTGCAAAACAAAAATGCTCAGGAGTGAGTGGATTATTTTTATCCTCAAGAGAAAAGAGCAGAAATAACTGAATTGGATATTACTGATAGAGATTTAGAAGGTTCCTTAGATTTGAGAGATTTCACTAATTTAGAAATATTAAATTGCAGTAATAATAAACTAGTAAATTTGGATATAAGTAATCTAACTAAACTCAAAGAAATCGATTGTTCTAGCAATAAACTTGTTAATTTAGTAACTAATGGTCTAGATAACTTAGAAAATCTAAACTGTTCCGAAAATTGTCTAACTGATATTCAATTATTATTATCTAATCTGCATTTTGAGAAACTAAAGACATTAGAATTATCTAACAACAGCTTTTCACAAAGTGATTTATCTCCTTTTAGTAAATTTGTTAACTTAGAAAATTTATACCTAAGTACAACTAATGAAGAAAAAATTAAACAAGGTGACTACAATGAATTCTGCGGTAGTTTAGAACCATTGAAAGATTTAACCAAACTAAGAATATTAGATATTAGTAATACTGATATAGATAGCGGAGTTGAATATTTACTAGAAAATTTAGAGAAAGTTATTTATGATGGGGGAAAAAATCCTGAAGCAAAAGTAAACAAAATTAAAGAGGATTTAGACTCCTACAATACTAAAAAATGATTAGATGATAACTATCCTTATGCAGAAAGGGAAGATATAAAGGAGTTGAAAATTATTCGAAAAGAGTTAAAAGGGGTATTAGATTTATCAGATTTTGTTAATTTAGAGGAATTGAATTGTCATAAAAACGAATTGACCGGTTTAAATATAAGTAATTGTTCAGAGTTAACATTATTAGATTGTTCTAGTAATCAATTAACCAAGCTAGATTTAAATAAAAACACGCAACTTGTTGACCTTGATTGCTCTGATAACGAATTAAACAAGTTAGATTTGAGTGGTTTAAATATTACTAAACTTAACTGTCAAAACAATAGTCTGACAAAATTTAATTTTTTAATTCTTAATCCTGAAATAGTGGAAAGATTAGACTGCTCAAATAATGATTTCTCAGAACAAGATTTATCATCCTTTACATCCTTTACTAATTTAAAATACTTAGCAATTGGAACAAATGCTGAAGAAAGAATTGAGGAAGGCATTTACAATCGTTTTATGGGTAGTTTAGAATCTTTAAAGAACTGCACTAAATTAGAGAAATTATACATTAATAACACTGATATAAACTTTGGTTTAGAATACTTACCTAATAGTGTGGAAAAACTTAATTGCTTTAGCGAAGAAAGGAAAAAAAGCCAAGTAAAACAAATAGAAGAGTTATTAAAGGACTCAAGTAACTTTACTCTGCGTGACAAAGCATATGTAAAAAAATATTCTGATGTTCAAACGTGATTTGATAAAAGATATTCTGATAAGCAAGAAATAGAAGTAATTAATCTTTCTGATTTGAAAACTATTGACTATCTAGAAAGTGAATTAGTTATTGCTGATTTTCCCAAGTTAAAGGAAATAAAAAACAGCGGTGATGTTTGCAAAATAAACAAAGTAACTGTTAAAAATTGTCCTCGATTAGAAGATTTAGAGATTAACCGTTTTAAAGATAATAAAGAATTAAATATCGATGATTGCTCAAGTTTAAAGGGAATTAATTGCTCTAGTAACCAGTTAGTGCAGTTAAATGTTCAATATCTCCCTAATTTAGAGAAACTTAATTGCTCCGGTAATCTTCTCACTAATTTAGATATTTCTCAAAACTTATTACTAAAAAAGTTAAATATTAGTAATAATGACTTTTCTGAACAAGATTTAAATTTTTTATCTCATTTAGTCAATTTAGAAGAACTTCATTTAGAAAATAGTGATGAAGAAAAATTTAAACAAAATATTTACAATAGATTCCACGTTTCTTTAAAATATTTGAAGAATTTAGATAAGTTAAAGATTTTAAATATTAGCAATACTGATATCAACGATGGTCAAGAATATTTGTCTGATAGTGTAGAAAAAGTTTATTGTAGTGATAATTTACGGGATGAATCTAATTGTAAAGCTATTGCTGAAAAACTGAAAGACTGTTATAACAAAAGCTCAAAATACTACAGTTATCAGGATTGGATAAAAGTTGGTCAAGTATGATTAGATAAAAATTATCCGATAAATGATACCTGTCGAAACAAGAATGACAAAGAAAATTATGGTAAAAGGAGGGAAGAGATAACTAAACTGAATATTGATAAAAAAAACCTAGAAGGTTCTTTAATTTTAGAAGGTTTCACTAGTTTAGAAAGTTTTTCTTGTTTTAACAATAAGTTAACGGAACTAGATGTTAGTAATTGTTTAAATTTAAAAGAATTTAACTGCTGCAAAAACCAGTTAACTAGTTTGGATATAAGCAAAAATTCTCATTTAGTTAAATTTGCTTGTTCTGAAAACCAGTTAACCAATTTAGGTCTTGGCAAAAACAACCAGCTTACTTATCTTTATTGTTGAGGTAATTTACTTAAAGAATTAGATTTTTCTGCTTTAAACTCTGAAGAACTAGAAAGTTTAAATATTTCGAGTAATAATTTTCCTCAACAAGATTTATCTTTTCTGGATAGGTTTACTAACTTGAAATACTTGCAAATTGGAAATTATGAGAGAAAGAAAATAAAAGATAGTATTTATAATCGTTTTTTTGGTAGTTTGGAACTTTTACGAAATTTAACCAAGTTAGAAGAACTAGATATCTCCAACACCGATATTAATCAAGGTATTGAGTATTTGCCTAATAGCATAACAGAAATCTATTATTCTATAAAGGAACGAAAAGGAAGCAAGTTAATAGAGATAGCAGAAGAATTAAGGTGATGAGAAGATATTGACCATGGTTTTACTTCTTTAACTAAGAAAGAATGAGAAGGCAAGGGATTTAGCTATGAGGAAACAAAAAAATGGATTTCAAATTGTAATTTAAAGGCTGATGAAAGTTTATTAGCTAAATATTTGAAAGAAAAGGGAATTATTCCCCAAAAAAGCAGTGTCCAAGATATTGATAAATTTAGAGAAGAATATAAAGCTAAAGAAACAGAGAACCAAAAATTGCAAGAGCAAATTCAAATTAATTCTCATTAAGAAAACAACGTTAATATAATAGTGAGTAAAAATAAAAAAATTTATGGTAAAAAAAAATATATTAATAATTGGTCGTGCTGGTAGTGGTAAATCAGCTTTAGCTAATTTACTAGTCAACAAAAAAGAAAATTTTGAGGAACAAGGAACATTTAAAGAGGAATTCATAGAAAGTGATGGTAGTGTTGTCAAAACAAAGAGTATTCAGATTTCTGATTTTAGGGTTAAGGATGAAAAATACCAAATAATTGATACTGTTGGAATAGGTAGTGGTGCTAAATTAAAGGAGGAAGAAATAGTGCGTGAAATATTTAAGGCATGTTACGAATTTGGTGAAGGTTTACTTCAAGTATTGTTTGTGATCGACAAAAGAGTTACTTTGGAAGAAATAAGGGTTTACAATATAATAAGAAAAAAGATTTTTGATGATAATATCACTAAGTATACGACAATTGTTCGAACTCATTTTGGTAACTTTCGAAGTCAAGAGAAACGAGAAGAGGACGAAAACAAATTAAAAAAAGCGAATATAACCAAAAAAATGGTTGGATCGTGCAGAAATATTATTTATATTGATAATCCTTCATTAAGTTCTGCTGATAATGAAGCAGAAATAAGTGTTTACAATAAGAGAAAGAAAGAATCAAGAGACATAATATTGAGAAATTTAGCAGCTTGTCAAGATTTTTATAAACCAAGTAACTTAAAGTTAATAAATGAGATATTTAGGGACTATGTTGAAGGAGACAAAGGTGAGTTCATGAGGCTTTTGAAAGAAGACATCAAAAGATTGAAAAACGAAAGCTTTATCAGTAAAAAATTAAAAGATTTAATGGTGAAAAAAATAAAGACAACAAAAGAAATGTCAGAGTCATCGCTACGAGCTGCTATTGAAATAAGAAATAATTGTTTACAAATGTAAGGTGAGATTTGCTTGTAATAACAAAAGAAGTATACAGAAAAAATATGAACAACATGAAATCAATACTCCTAATCGGGAGAACTGGGAACGGAAAATCTACACTGGCAAACGTAATTGCTAAAACTGGTGAATTTAAAGAGGGTGAATTTGCAGTTAGTGAAACTAAAAAGATAGCCGAATATACATTTGAACACGAAGGGATGAAATATCGAATAGTTGATACAGTTGGAATTGGCGATACCAAAATGACAATGGATAAAGTATTAAATAGACTGGCACTGATGGGATATTCAGTAAAAGATGGCTTGAGTCAGATATTGTTTGTAACTGATGGTAAGTTAGTGGAAGAACCAAGGTCTACTTATGAGTTGTTAAAGAAAGTAGTTTTTGATGATGAGCTTGCTAATTACACAACTATCGTAAGAACTAATTTTCCTGATTTTAGAAAAGGTAAAAAATGTGAAGAAGAAAGACAGAATATGATTGAAAATAGTGAAAGTATGAAAGAATTAATTGAAGAGTGTAAAAATGAAATAATTTTTGTTGATAATCCACCAATTGATATTGCCAATGATGAAGATTTAGTGTACTTAAATAAAAAAAGAAGAGAAGAATCGAGAGAAAGATTATTAAATCATTTAAAAAATATTTGTCATGATGCTGTTTACAAACCAGAAAATTTAGTTTATTTGAGTGAAAAGCTTAGTAAGCATGTAAATAGGAAAGAAAAGTTAAAAAAAGGGTTGTTTAATTTTTATGATAGGGCGAAAAGTAAATCACTGAGTTTGGATATAACTAATGAAATGAAGAAACTCATTGAAAAGGAAGAACCGGAATTAAAAGAATACATAGGAGAAGGGTTAAAACAATTAGAGGAACAAAAAAAGAACAAGAAAGAAAAACCTGTTAAATGAAGTTGAAAAAAAATACAACTTCAAGAGTCGCAACAAGCTAGAATTGAAGTTTTTCCTAGAGAATAACTAATGCCAAATGTTCAACAGTGACTAGAAAGTCAAGAAGAGTATAATACTAAAGAGAAAAGAGAAAAAATCAAAGAACTAGATATTTCTTGTAATTATTTAGAAGGTAAATTAGATCTGACTGATTTTATTGATTTAGAGAAGTTATATTGCCAAGATAATGAAATAACTGGTTTATTAATAAATAGTTGTGAAAAATTAACTAAAATTGATTGCTCTTATAATCCTCTTGTTGGTAGTTGTGAAACTTTCCGGAATTTGAGAGAATTAAAAATTTTAGATATTAAACACTCCAAAATAAATGGTGGTTTGGAGTGTTTGCCTAATGGTTTAGAAAGATTTTTTTGTACTGGTCAATTACAAAAAGAACTAGAGGATTACGAGGAAGGTATTGTAGGTTGAAGAGAATTTTATAGTCAGTCTCAGAAATGAATTGACAAGAATTATCCTAAGGAAGAAAGAGGAAAATTTGTTGAGTTAAATGTCAAAAATAAAGAATTAAAAAAAGGTTTAAGATTAATAGGATTTGTTAAATTAGAAAGATTAAATTGTTCTGAGAATCATATAACTAAATTAGATTTGAGTGATTGTCCAAATCTAAAGTTTCTAGATTTTAATAACTGTCCGTTAGAAGGTAGTTTAAAATTTTTAAAAAGTCTAAAAAACTTGGAGGAATTAAATATCACTAATACTAATCTCAGTGAGGGTTTGGAACATTTACCAATAGGTTTTAAGAAACTTTATTGTAACTCTGATCGTCAGTATAAATCAACCAAACTTATGGGTGAATTAGAGAAAGGCAAATGTCTAGTAACAAAAGCAAATGATGATAAATATTACAATTTTACCAAGTTTTCTCAGTGAAAAGAAAATAAGCAAAATGGTATGATTGCTAAAGTCATTCCTTTAGAGAGGTTATATGTTATTAGGGGTAATATAAGACAGTTTCTCAAAAAGTGAGGAGTTAAGAGGGAAAATAAGTCAATCGAACTAAGCAAATTGCGATCTCCTAGTAACCCTGATGAACTATGAAAACACCGATGAACAATTTATAGTATTCAAGCCATTGGTAGAGGTGTAGCGATAGCAGGTGCAGTCTTAACTTTTCAAGACAAAAGTGCAATCGGAGGGGGAATTTTAGCTATTTATCCTCTCGCGGAACTAATCGTTTCTAAACTTGAGGAGAACCTAAAAAATAAAGAAGCAAATTGAAAGGATTTTTTGATTGATGCCGATAGTCTTTCAGACAATTTTAATGAGTTGTCAGGAATGCTGTCTCAATTTAAAATTAGTGAATTAAAAGGGGGAAAAGTAAACGAAATGCTTAAAAATTTGGATAAAAAAACCACTAAATTTTTAAAAGCGTATGATGAAAATGGCGATAATGAAATAGATGTTGAAGAACTAAAGAGTAAGAGGGATAAATTTGTTGAAGATTTGAGCAAATGAGATGAAAAAAAGAAGGCAGGGGAAGAAGAAAGTAAATTACAAGCAGTTATGAATGCTATAAAAGAGTTAGAAAGAGCGATAGTGGGATATCGACAAATTTCTTATTATGGGATGAATGAATCAACTAAAGAAGAAGAGTCTAAAGAGATAAAATTTGAAGAGAAACCGACAGAGGCAACAATATTAGTTGAACAATAAACTTAATACCATTTAAATAGTAAGTATTATGGATAAACTTAGGAGAAACCAAAGAATTAGTTTTAAAGCAAACCGAATTCTTTTACTTTTTCTTACTTTCTTTTAAAGAATTTTCAGTATCTTTTATATCACTGGTTTTGCTCGGAAAAACTGATGGGGCTACTACTCCTGCCTGTTTTTTTCATTAAAAAAAGCTGACAGGTTAACCGATTATTCTCGTGTAGTTCGTAAGCACTGCGGACATCCATTATAATTCCTTAAAAGTTGTAATTGCTGAAATTGCTCTTTTTGCTCTTGCTTTTTCTTCTGATAAACTTGCTGGTAGTTGGAATACTTCTTGGCTCTTTCTTGTTCTATTTGGTAATAGCAAGAACAGCAATATTCTAAACTAACTTTGCTCTTTCAGAGAAATATAATTTTCCCGCAAGTTTTTGTTTGCTTACAATCTAAACAATGTGTTTTTAGTAATAAACAGTCTTAAATAGGTTATTTTCTTTATCAAACTCCCTATTATTGAAGGATTTATAAGGATATTTTAGGGGTTTTGTCCTCCCCTATATCCATAGAATAAAAAAAACCAGCAAAAAAATTTCAAAATTCACTAACTTCTTGCGGGGGTCTAAACCACAAGAATCACCTTATTATTTGGAGTAATAATAGAGTTCTAATGAGTTCGTGGAAAAAATAAATTTTTTTTTGCTGGTTTTTTTTATATGTCCGAGAAAGCATCAAGGGTTACAGGTCAATAAAGTAAAGAATATGAATAAGGTTAAAGGTTCCTAACGTTAAACATAAAATTAATATATTATGAAAGTAGCAAGAATAGAGCCAAGACACACATTCAGTATTTATTTGCCAACTTCTTTGTATCAAAAATTAGTAGACAAAGCAGGAAAAGGAAAAATTAGTACTTTTATTAAGGTGATATTAGAGGAAAAACTGGTAAAAGAGGAACAAGACCAAAAAGAGGAATTAAAAGAAAAATTAATTACTGCTCATAAAAGAATGGCTAAAAATAAAAAAATCCAAAAGGAATTAAAAGCTATGGAAAGAGCCCAATTTGAAGATTGAAAAGATGAGTAAAAGCCAGTTTCCTAAACGAGGAGAAATGCAGAGCATTCCTCAAAGAGGTCAAATTTGATTAGCCGAGTTTCCACCAGCCAAAGAAAGCCGCAAACCCGTCCGTCCCATTTTGGTAATTAGTGGTAATATTCAGAATGAATATGACGAGTGAATAGCAGTTGTACCAATAACTACCGAGGATATTAAAAATATTGAACCTTTTGAGATTTTTATTGAGAATAGTAAAGAAACGGGTTTAGATCATCCCAGCAAAATTCAATTTATTTATCCCTTTACTGTTGACAAAGAACGGTTAAAAGAGTTTTTAGGAATAGTTAATAAGGAAATAATGAACCAAGCCAAAGTTGCTTGAAAAATTGCCTTTGATAGTGAGGAATGATAATTTTCGCAAAAAAAAAAAAAAAAAAAAAACAGTATTTAAACTTTTATAAATGGACTAGTCTTTTTTGCTTGTTTTTAGTCTTAATTAGTAGTAGTGTTTTAATTTATCAACAGTGAGCAATAAGAACTCAATTACAAACACTAAAAGAACAAGCTCAAAGGCAATATCTACTCCAAAACCTTCATTTAGTTTCTACGAATGAGTTAGTTAACAGTCCCAAGGTTCAGGCTTTTTTTAGTGATTTATTGAATACTTATGCAGAGAAATTTGCTAAAAGTAAAAACTTAGATATTTCTCTCTCACCGCTCAAATTTGCTGGTCTTTATGCTGAACCTAACCCTGGTAATGGTTATCGGAAAATGGGTCAGTGCTGAAAAGAACCAAGCATAGCCAAGATTAGTCTTAATCGCTTATATCTGTTAAATAAATTTGGCCATGATCAATATTTTCCTAGCAATCCCGAGCAAAGTGGAGATTATACTTATTTAGAGATTAGTTTTGCTAAAATGCTCCATACTTGCTCGCATGAATTAGCCCATTATCTGCAATTAGTAAAAAACAAGAGAAGTAGTTGTGAGAGTGATTTAAAGTTGAATAATGGGAGGTATGATTTAGAATTAGCCAGCGAACAGGAAAAATGAACCCAAGAGATTGATCAATTAATTAAGAATTCTGGTGAATATTTGAAATGGAAAAGAAAGTGAGATTACCTGAAATAATTCTTTTGTGAAAAAGATTCAGTAAGAACCAGAATTATTAGGGGGAATTAGAGAACTCCGCATAAAGGATTTATTTTTTGATCTTGTCATCAAACTTGCCTTTTTTATCCATTATTTCAATTCTGAGGAGTCTTAATTCACCTTCAATTGCTACCAACTTGTCAGCACCTCTCTTTAATTCTTCTCTAAGATAATCAATAGTAATCACTAAATCCTTGAACTGAATTGGATCCAATTTTATCACCATTTTTTCTTTTGTCGACTCCTCAGACATATTATTCTCATTTTATTTACTTTCTCCTTCTATTCACAAAAACAATTAATCCTCCACATAAACCCACTACTGCACTAATTATACCAATGGCAGGCAAAATTCTATTAGACTTAGGCGAATTATCGGTTGAAGTTGGAGTTGAAAAACTAACAACACTTTCAAGTTTTTGCGAAAATTTTCGTAATTGTTCTGAACTTACCACAAAATCGTCTGTATTTTCTTCTGTTTGTCTTCTTTCAAATTCTGAATTTATTCGGTTAAGCAAACTTTTTAAATCTTCTGTGTTCGCCTGGCTAATTTGTTCATCAGTTAGTAAAATTTCTGGATTATCAACTATCATAGCATTAACATCTCGATTACCTATATTTGTCCGAAATCTTTTATCTTTCTTACCACTCTCAATCTCTCGAACCCTATCAGAAAAACCAATACCACGTCTAGGATCACTTATTCCTTTTCCCACTTCAATCAACCTTTCCCGTTGCTCTAAATCTGTGACAATTTTAGGTTTAAGGTTAATATCGTCTCTATGATCTACTAATATTTTCATTTCCAAATCACCAACATAATCATCAACATTGTCACTATAAGGATTTTTGGTTAACAAAATATCCTTTTTTAGTTGATTAGAAAAAATAAAATACATACTTCCTTCGACAGCATAATCAATACCTACTCGGAATTGGGGCAATTTTATCCTTTCTTCACAACGAAACTTACCATTTTCAGTCTTTTTATCGACAATCAAAGTAGAAGTTTTTGGCATTATTTTTACTTTCTATATGATGTATAAACAGTATAGTTTTGCCCCTTAACATACCTGAAATAAACGTTGTAGTTAACTTTTACACTACTTTGATAAACTGATCCATCTTCTATCTGACAGATAAATTCGTTTCTGTCGCCACGATCAACTTCTCTCATTCCTCTCTTGACATCTTCAGAAATCATTTTAAGTCCATAACTAGGACTAGTCAATTTTCCCTCTACAACAGCAATAACTCCTTGGGTTAGACCATGTCTGTTACACTGAGAGCAACAATCATTACAATCTCGTCCACACTCGCTGTAACAACCTACTTCTCCCTTAGATTTAACTTCTTTTTTACAGTAATTACAGTATTTCATAATTTTTAAAATTTATTTTCTTTTTGTATTTTTTATGTTTTTGCTAATTTTTTTAAAAACAGTTTGCTTCTGTTTACCAGTTGCTTTTACTTTAATATTCTAATGGTGGAACTGGTAAGAAATCACAAGATTGAAGTGATTTTGATAAATCGCGACAAATCCAAAGATTATTAGAAAAATAATAACCTAATTAGAACATTACTTTACCCTATTTTAACTTCTAGGAAAGTCGCTATCTAAACTTTTATCTTTTTGGTAAAAGTCCAAGTTAGGGCGAAAGGAAGAAGTCCCAATCAATAAGCATTTAAGCAATTTATATTTAAGAAGTGATTGGTTAGTTTGAGTGATTATTAACTTGTTCGATAGAACTAATTAGATAATATCTCGTTTATTATTCCTCTTAAATATTTCCTATTTTCGTCTCCATAGGCATTTATTTATATCTTTACTTATAGGATAATATTCCTATATGAATTATTTTATTATATAAACCAATATTCGCAAAACCTTTAATTTGGAAAAATATTGATTATATATGCCAAATATTAGTCTCAAAAATATCACCATTAAAAAGTTAGAAGACCGCAATCTCAACACCTATTATCTGATTGTTAACAACGATAACCAAGATGAAGCTTATTTTTGTTTTGAAAAGACCGTTAAAGATGGTTGAAATAATTTGGTAAATAACTATGAAAACATTAAAGAAGTAGAGATCGAGTTTACCGAGAATGAGAATAATTTCAAGACTTACCGCAAAGTAGTGAGTTTATATACCCAAAAAGGAGAAATATTTGTTTAGTTTATTATTCTCTCCCTTCCTCACAAGGAGCAAATATTCCTTTACTAATTATCCGAGCTGGTAATATTTCATCAGTTTCGGTAAAGTGAATATACTTTCCTTCGTTTTGTAATTCATATTTTTTTAGTTGCTCAGACTTGGTATTTTCTTCTAATATTCCATATTTAGTTAGCAAGTTAACCGCAATAATTACTTCTCTTCCGTCGTCTAATTGGGTTACTAATTTTCCCCTTTTTACTTCACACTTAATAACTTTGGTTGGTTGTGCTTGGTTGACCAATGGCTGGTTATTTTGTGGTTTAACTTCTTTTATTAATCTTGCCATAATAAGTTATTTTTTAAAGGTTCCATCTCATTCTACTCCCAAGTTTTGAAAGTCTTTTTGGATTCTGGCCACCATATCCTGATAATTATCACGCACAAATTTTCTTATTGAGGTCTTTGCTTCATCGGCTAGCTTACCTCATTGTTTTTCTATGCGATAGTTTGGATAACCATTTTTTAAGTATAATTCTATTTCACCAATCTGTCCTTTAAAATGAAGGTGAATTCAGTCTAAAGGTTTATTTTCGGGAGGAATATACTCTTTAGCATAAAAATAAATCCAATAACCTTTTCATCTCCTTCGCGGATCAGGATCTTTAAAAAGTTGAGCCATTTATTAATTATTCTTTTTAGCAAATTAAAAACCTAAGCAACTGAACCACTATAAAATACTAATAAAAATTATTAGTAAAAATATGTCTCGTCAGATTCAAGAATATCTCAATAGTTTGGTAAATAAGTCCCGAGTTTATTATTTGGATTTAAATAATCAGCTGCAAAAACAAGGTTATCAGTGTGTCACTTGCCACCAAAGCTTACAAGGCAAATGTGAGAACTGTAATAATCAAAATAAGCAACTAACCGGAGAAATCACTAGTTTAAGTGAATTTAGCCATTTAAAAGGAGTGAATGTTTCTAATCATCAGTTTACTAGCCTTAATTTCTTAAATTCTTTACCGAATAAAGAGCAATTAAAAGGTCTTAATCTGTTTGGTAATCAGATCACCGAAGTAGATTTTGCCGAATTATTTACTAAATTTCCTAATTTAGAGAAAATAAACTTGCAAAATAATCTAGCAAAAGCCAAGAATTTGAATAATTTAACTAATCAACAATTTGCTAAACTAGTGAACGGAATTAAAACCAAGAAAATTAGAGTTGATTCCTTAAAAGGCACTATTTTAACGGATTTATTAACTTATGCTCAACAATTAACCACTAGTGGCAATAATCAACAGCAACAAAATGCTCAATATTTGCAAACTCTTCTTCACCAAGACAGTTCACCACTAAACCACAATAAACAACCAAATAATCGCACTCCTCTATTAATTGGCGGGTTAGTAATTTTTGGAATTTTCGCAGTAGCAATTGGTTATTTACTAGGACAAAAAAGAAAAAATACTCCTAACTATGAATAAAAAACAACAAATTTTAACTTCTTTAATTAGTGAAATAAATAAGCCTAAGCCTGAGATTAAGCAAATAATTAGTGGTTTATCGGAATTAGAGCAGGAAACTAAAAAAGATTGTTCTCATTGTCAACACCAAAGATATGCCGAACAAATCTCCGCAATTAAGCAAGGAAAGTGAGAGCAAAAAACCTAAAACTAACACAAAAAATCCATAGTGTTAAGAAATAATTCTACGGAATAGGTTAAGGAAAGATAGGAATAGATTGGTTAGAAAGTTAAGATTATTTAAAAAAGAATAAAAAATTTTAGTTGATAAAAGTCATGTCTTATCTCGTTATTTTAGAAAAAGAAAAGATCAGTTAAAAAAATATAATATATAGTTGACTATTGAAAAAGCCTAGTAGGTGAAAGGTGTTGGAAAATGCCCTTTACCTACCTAGTAGCCTGTTAGGCTCTTTGAATATTCAACAAAAAAATGGTAAAGGGCAACAATTACCAAGGAAAGAAAAACGAACTTGACAAGGTTTTGTTTAAATTTTCTTGACAAAAGAGCAACAAAAAAATTTCAAATTTAAAGAGAAAAGGGAATTATTTTTGTTTTTTTCTAGTTTACTTTTTAAGAAAAAAGAGAGAATATTGGCGTTTTTTTAGAAAAAAAATTGATTCTAAAGCAAAGTTAATTTTTCAAACAAAGAGAATAAAAACTTACTCTTTTTACTTGGGAAATTAACTCATTATTCCCACTACTAGCGGAAACTAGTAGCGAGCAAAATACGGAAGTTAAGTTGCTATCCAACTAGTGGCGATTACGTCATTAGGGCAATAATCAGCCGTAAACCTAACAAGACCTAACTGAAATTGGTAATCCAATTAGAGTAAGTTAGGAAATGCCTTATCGGGTAAGGCCGTAGTTGAAAAGTCTTAACTTGCCGACCTCTGAAAATGAGAACTACATATAGGGGGAATACAAACCTATATATTTATTTTAGTTTCGAAACGAGGCGAGGGGTGAATTATGTCGCTTTTTTTGTCCTAATTTAAAACCTTTACTTATAGAATAAGTAAAAATAGCAATTAAGTCCCATTTTCGCCCTTTTTTATCTTTCTTTTATTTTTAATTTTCTTGGTAAGGTTAGTGTTGAGGGTGATAGATAGAGTTCTTTCTAAACTAACTCTTTTACTCTAACTCTGTAAGTCTCTTTCTCTTATCCCTCTGATAAAGGTTTTAAAATTGTGATATGGAGTTTGGAGAAATAAAAGAACTATTACTTAACGAACTAACCAAAGAACAAAAATATTTGCTGAATACTAAACAAGCCGGAGAAGCTTGGGAACTTTTGACTAATTTAACCAATAATTCGGTTAGTTTGATATTCTTGGATCCGCAATACGAACCGGTAAAGAATGTTTTGTCTATCAATTATCCTCTCTCTTTTCAGAGTGATTATCAAATATTACGGATATTGGAGCAAACAGAAAGAATTCTTAAACCTTCGGCATTTTGTCTCTTATGAGTAAATAAAACTCTCCTTGGCAATGACCGCATTTCTTTATGGTTATTAAAAACCCCCAACTTAAAGGTTGTTGATTTTCTAGTGTGACATAAAAAGAATACATTGGGATTAGGGAACTGATTAAGAAGCAATGCTGAATTCTGCTTCCTATTACAAAAATATCCGCAGAGTGGTAAGATGTTTAAAAATCGTTCTTTTGGAAATGTTTGAGAGGAGAATGTTTTATCGCCTAATAAAAGAAAGCATCCTCATCAAAAACCCAAAGAGTTAATCGAAGCCCTAATTTTGGCAACTACTAATGAAGGAGATTTAGTGGTTGATCCTTGTGCAGGAAGTTTTATTGTGTTAGAAATTTGTCAAGAATTAGGGAGAAATTATTTAGGAGTTGATTTGACTTATAAGGAAATGAAGGAATTTTTAAGCAATAAACCAGATAAAGTTAATGAAATCTAATTTTTTGTTATCTTTATTAAGAGCTTTAAAATTACCCTTTAAATTATTGGCAGGATTTTTTGGCAAGAAACCTAAAAGAGAGAAAAACGAGTTAGCAAAAAAACAGTTAGCCTATGTCCGAAATTTCTCGCCTAAACATTATAGTTGACAAAAGAACTTTAAGCAAAAGAAAAAACTACTTGGGAAAAAGAGCAAACAAAAATCAACTAAAAAAAATAGTCTTAATAAAAACTACCTAGCAGTTAAAAATTAAGTAAAAAGCAAAAGGAATATTATAATGAATTACTTATTTTCACATTCCCCATAATATATCTGTTTCACTTTCGAGGAACTAGTTTTAAGCATTGTGAACATTTACTTTCATATCTTAATATGTTGTCTCGTCTTGCTTTTTTTATTCTTCCTCTAAAGCTTGGTTTTCTTTACTTTCCAAATCAAATAATAAGCAAGGGTCAAATTTAAACTGTAACATATTCGCGGTATCTTTTCCCGCATCACCGCCTTTTCTCTGAATTTTCACCTTACCTATTATTAAATTTCCTTTTTTAGTCAATAATACCTCACCTTGCCCGTAAAAGTTAATCACTTCATTAATCGTTGTTAAAACTCAACTGTCTAATATTTCCCCTGAACTTAGTTTGCGATAAACTAACATTCATTCCGCAGTATATTTTCCTCGTCCTTTAAAAATATCACAAAGCACTAATATCTTATTCTTTTGAAATCAGTTAATAACTAATTTTTGCTCCGTTTCGGACATTTCGGTAAAGTAATCCCGCAATTGACTTTCTCCGGTAAATTTCTTAATAATTTCAGTTAAAGAATTATCTCATTTTCACAATTTAGCATAATTATCTACTCACCGCTTATCTAATTGGTTAAAACCTTTTTCATTACTGACTAATTTAATAGAGATATTTTGAACTTCTACCAACTCTTTTAGAAAAATATTGACTTGAATTTGAATATCTGACTTAAAAGAACCTGTTATCTTTACAGCTACCACTTTTTCTATTTTGGCTAAATCATAGCCCATTACTAAAAGCCAATTTTGACTGTCCTCATCTTGTTTTCAGTCGTTAAACTTGTTAACTACCAAATCCTCTACGCGAAAACCGCCAGTGGCAATGATGCTTCCGTCTTTCTTATTTTTAATTTCTGACATTGATTTTTATTTTTTTTCTCATTTAATTTACTGATTATTCCTTGGTCGATTAGACTTTTAATGACATATTGAACGATATTTACTGGTAAACTATTGCCGAATTGCTGTAAAGCTTGCTTTTCTGCTACGGGAATTATAAAACTATCAGGGAAACCCTGTAATCTAGCACACTCTCGCGGAGTTAATCCTCTAATAGTATTGTCTACCAAATAAGCACCAGTATTGGGAGCACAGCCACCGCTGGAAGCTGAAATAGTTATTGCCGGAGCATAAATGCTATATATCCTTTCTCCTTGTCCTCCTTTATTAATAGTTCCTATCCTTTGGGGTTTAGAAAAGGGAGTTTGACAAGAAAAATTTTTGGTTAATCAATTAATAATTTTATCTTTACCATTAACTATTACTCTACTTAATTTATTTTCCAAAATATCCTTAACTATTTTTCTTTGAGAAAACGGAACGGGGAAAGAATATTTGATTGGAGATACAAAGACTTTTTTATTAAAAGCCACAATAAATAACCTTCTCCGACTTTGCGGTAATTGGTAATCGCTAGCATCTAAAATTTGATATTCTACTTGATAATTTAGGCTTTCCAACTGTTTTAAAATGAAAGTAAAAGTTTTTCCCTTGTCATGCTTTAAAAGATTAGGAACATTTTCTAAAAATAGAATGGCTGGTCGCTGATATTCAATAACTTTAAAAAGTGAAAAAACTACATCACTTCTTAAATCATTTAGTCCTTTTTGTTTACCGCTAATACTAAATGCTTGACAAGGAAAACCCGCACAAAGAATATCATGGGGAGGAATTTCACTAGGCTTTATTTGGCGAATGTCCGAATAAGGGTCGTCACCAAAATTTTTCTCATAAGTTAAGCAAGAATATTTGTTGATTTCACAACTAAAAACACATTTTGCCCCAAAACTTTCCAAGGATAAACGAAAACCGCCAATTCCCGCAAATAAGTCAATAAACTTAATATCAGTAAGGTTTTTTTGGTAATTAAGAGGTAGTTTAATCATGTTAATTTTTTTTACTTTTTTTATAATCTTCGACAGCTTTTTCAATTATTTCTACCATTAAACATTTTTCTTGGAGAGCTAATTGTTTTAGTTCTCAAAAAAATTCTTCGCTGACTTTAAAGCCAAGTGGTTTTATTCGCTTATTAGGTTCTTGATTTTCTTTCCGTGAAGGTGCTAATTCCGGAGCGTTTAAGTTAGTGCTAGCCTCTTGTGGTATTTCTCCTAAATTTCCTCTCCTAAATTTTTTCTGCCATTTATTCATATTTCTTTAAATCTTAATATCTATATATCTTTATTTTATGATTTCTAATTATTTAACTTTCTAAATATATTCTAAAATATTTTCTATCAGAGCTTTGGTTTGTTTTCGTAAAGTTTTAAAGTTTATTTCGGTAATACTTTTTCCCTCATTCTGAATTTGCCGAAAAGAAACTTTTTCTAATAAAGCAATTGGAAGGGAAGCATAACCAGTATCTTTTAAATATTCTTGGGCTATTTCTGCTTCGGCTTTACTGCCGATATGGTTTAGGATGAATAAAAGCTTTTTTTTATTAATTCCTGCTTTGACTAGGGCATGAAATTCTTTGACCGCGGGAATTAAATCGGCTCGACTGGCTCCAGTCGGTTGAATTAGTAAATCAGCCTTTTTGGCAATCTCCAAAGTTCCAGTACTAGTTCTAGCGGGACCATCAATTATTATTAGATCATAATCTTTACTTAATGGTCAAATATCCTTTGCTTGCTTAAATACTTGACAAGGAACTTTCTTGTTTAGTTTGCTTCATTCTAAACTAGTTGCTTGTTGACTATCGCAATCTGCTAATAAGACGCTTATTTTCTTTTTCTTAGCTTCGACTGCTAAGGCTTGGGTGAGAGTGCTTTTTCCTACCCCCCCTTTTTGGGAAATAAATGCGATTATTGTCATATATATTATTTTCTAGATATTTTTATTTCTTAATTTCTTATTGTCTTGAAAACTTTATATCTAGATATTAAGATTTCTAAATCTAAATTTAATTCTCTGCTCCTTGCTATGAAAACTTTTGCCTTGTTTTTGTTCTTTTAACTTTATCAAGTAATCATGGGAGCAGTTGAATTAAAATTTAGTGGATCATTTGAAAGATCTAGTTATTTAAAAGATTGGCAATGTTCTTACTGTGGTAAGTTTATCACTGATCAAGACATTAGTGAAAATAACTATCACTTATGAGTTTAGTGATTACGCGAATGAAGTCACTAAAAGCGAAAGTGCTTTGGTTGGTTCAGTTTATGGAGTAGAGTTTTGATTAAAAAGTGTCGAAGATTATAAAAAAAGTAAAAAAAATTAACATGATTAAACTACCTCTTAA